GTTGGGGGGGGGGGGGGGGCACGACATTATTTTCATGTTACTTATCCAACTTAACCAAAAAATATTTCATATTCCATAATTTTCTGTATTGAGGTAATGACTGGCATTTGTTATTTTTATGAATATACTGATAACAGCAAATATAACAAAACATTTTAATAGTCTTGAAAAATGCATTTTTTAATTTGAGTGAAATATGACTAATATGAAATATGACTACAAAAATACAGATTTATGATTCACCCAGACACTGGTCAAGAACAGGATTTTTTGCAGTTGAGCAAATTAACTGCACTCTATTGTGTGCAACTGCACAATACTTAATTCTTCAGGTAATATGCATTTCCCTTGTACTGCACTGAAAAACATCTGCATTTGCTGTCAAAAGTAGACCAAGCTCTTAGAATGCCTTAAAAACTAATGGCCCTCCTTTGAATAAAACACAGTATAGAGAACAATGAAGCAATACATAATATATGCAATTCTATTAAATAACAAAGACAGTTACTGCACAACAAACTGTCAAAGTTATGTTTATTTATTAACAGAAAAGAAACTACAATCCTTGGTTCGTTTAAGACGACACCAAGAAAGAAGTAAACTCTCCACGAGTCCATGCGTAATATTACACCCTTTAGGAATGTGTCCAATCCTTGACTTTTTAAGGAGCTCTCAAACTGTGTTAGCTCCAAAGCAAAACTATCCAGCTCGGAGTCTTGTGCCCTTTTTCGGCTTTGAAACCTTCATGACTACATCAGCACTCTGGTCCAACCCTTCACTCCGCCTGCCCTCAAAAACACGTACATCTGTGAACATCTTGCAGTGAAATGACCCAAGCTGACGCAATGCTGGAGGGGGAGTGGGGCTGGCGTTTCTCTGCTATACCCACGACAGGAACCACATAGTTCACCGTGTTCTGACAGAAGAGCTCACAGGATGTAGAAGGGAACCCCATTGTGTGAAACTCAGGAGAAGGACATGCTGTTCCTAAACCACTGACATCCCTGATGTCTTCATTTACTGTGCAACACCCGATTTTGTAAACAAGACTGAAGAATATACAGTGGCCCCGAAGTAGATTTTTGTGTCTAATGGAAAAAAAAGAAAAAAAATGGAGCGACTGTACTCGTATGACTTTGTTATCAAACTGAAGAGCACTTTCATTAACTGTAGTTTAATATAAATCTGTCCGCATTCACTCATTCATTTAAGCCTAATGAACTTTCTGGACCAAATACCACACGAAGGGCAAGCAATATTGGTACATGCACTTGAACATCATTGTATGAATTTATACAAATTCACCACCGCGTAAAAGAGTTACACTTTCTTATGAGATCAGGTCAGATCTCAAGAGCAGATATCACCGCAACTGAAAACAGGGATTTTGAAAATGCACAGAAAAGTCTAAACTCAAACTAAAGCTAATGTCTATATGTTTATCTCTTTACTTGTGAAGCAGAAAATATGGAAAACATGCATCAGTACACACACAAAAATGTGGATTAGGCAGAACAGACACGATTTTCAATGTGTTGCACAACAGGTGTAACGTTTACACGTTCCCCCAGGCTGTTGAAGAGGATCTCTCAGAGATTTCTTATTATACGTCAGCACAAGCTGAAGGGCTCATATATTACCAGATACAAGACTGTACCACAGTGACAAAGGAATGTTTTTATCAAATTATACTGTGCAAATGTTAGTTAGTTAACACCAGAATTAGGGCTGCACAATTATGACAAAAATCATAATTGTCGATTATTCCCTTGAAATTGTAATTGCGATTATTAATTATGATTATCACAATTTACATTGAATGATGTTCATACCATTGTTTATGCAACTGCATGCCGTATTTTTATATGAAAATAAACAAGCTGAAAACACTAACTGAAAAACTTTTAGTGCTTTTCTATAGTAATAAGTCTCAAATGTCAACCGGATTGGTTTCTTCTTTAAATTATAAAAAAGTAAAAATATGAATGGTATTATAATGTTATACTAAAACAAATTAAAATAATGGGAAAAACCCTTACGATAACAGGTAGAAAGAAAAAAAAGCATCTTAAGCGTGCAGAATAACATAAGTGGACTTTGAACGATTAATTGCTGCTTTGAACGATTACGTAATTGTGGCATCCGTAATTGTAATCGCGATTAGAAATACGATTAAATACAAAAGCACAGACTATGTTAACTGGTACAAGGAACACACACATTCATTCATCTGAATATAGAAATTATATTCAATTTATACTCGTATATAATAATTAGAGGTCGACCGATTCATCGGTTTTGCCAATTAATCGGCACCGATAGTTGATTGGCGGAACTATCGGTTATCGGCAAAAATCAATGCCGATAGTTTTCCGGATTGCGTCCGTTGCTGGAGTGGCTGAGAAGGGTCCGCTGCCATTATACAGTACGAGAGCGGCCTCTAGAGGCGGAAATCACTAACAGCACGTGTTGTTTGTTTTGACACGTGACACTGCGCGCTGCACAGAGCGGGAAACTTCAAACGTGCATTTAAATGCAGCCGACAGAAAATCCTGCCGCGCAACAGAGCGCCATTCACATAAAATATGGTTCAGTACTGCTACTGCTTTTTTAAAAATAGTAAAGCGCTGTTTTAGTTTTTGTTTACCGTTTTAAAAACTATCGGTTGATTAATCGTTATCGGCCAGTGTGGTCCAACCTAGCTATCGGTATCGGTAAAATCCACTATCGGTCGACCTCTAATAATAATAGTCCCTTTACTGTCACTGCACTCACAAAAATCCAAGTACTTGTTAGTTACATGCAGAATTATAAACCTAACGAAAAATTTGCAACATGTATATTTTAGAATTATTGCAATTCTGTTCTATTGTGCTCAGTCTGTTTTACATGCACACACCAATGCTCGTTCACTGAACTCTGTAAGGTTCTCGCATATCCTCGCAGATTTGTTGTTGTTTATCCATTATTATAGATTTTATGAATTAGCTGTTGCAGTTGTACAAGCCAGTTGTATAATTGTGAAGTCAGTTGACTGGAATGAACTGTGGTATAATAGTGTGTTCCACAGCAGGAGGTTTATGAGTCTATTCTCAGGCACACAGCACCATTCTCTGTGTGTTTTTAAAAAGGAAGTGATGTCTGCTATATAAAGAGCTAATGGTTTTATTTCAGGCCTCTTTGGCACTTTCATTGGGGAATCAGATTAGTCTACAGATGAGCTAAAAGGAAGCTTGATTGGAAACAAGGAAACAAGGTTGTGTTGTCGCCTTAGCTACCAACAGTTAAGTATTATGATGCAATAGCACAATGCCCGCAGCCCTATATATGCATATGCAACTGTTAAAGCAAACCAAAGACAAAAATGCTGGACATAAACATCTAAATAGCGGGGGAAATTGTTTAAACGTTACCCTGCCCAGAACAGCCTCAGAGAACTTTCAGTGCAAACAAAGACAGGAAATATGCTGGCGCCTGCTACCACCGATATTCACAATTCATTTCATTTTGAATCGGTCTACAGTCATCCGACACATTAGAGTCTCGTGAAAAACATGATCTTTATAGTGATGTTCTATTTTTATAATTACTTTTGTTACTTTGTTCGGGGAACATATAAATACTGAATTTCACACATAATTACACATTAATAACTCAAAATTAACATCAATACCTTTGTGCCATTAGGTTGAATTACATTACAGCTTTTGACACAAGTACTATTAAACTAATTTATAGGCATAAATTACAATTCAGATTTAATTATTATTTTTCCTCGTATCTCGACATGAAAAAATATGCAACGTTAACAATTAGAGAAAAATTTAGCACACTACCATTCAAATGTTTAGGGTCAGTAAGAATTTTTTTTAAACAAATGAATACTTTTATTCTGCAAGGATGCATTAAATTGATTAAAAGTGACAGTCACAACATAAAATGTGACAAATGCATCGCGGCTGATAATAGCAACACAGATAATAATCAGAAATGTTTCTAATAATCAGCATATTAGAATGATTTCTGAAGATCATGTGACACTGAAGACTGGAGTAATGATGCTGGAAATACAGCTTTGATCACAGAAATAAATCACAGTTTAAATCATATTCACATAGAAAACAGCTATTTTAAATTGTAATATTATTTCACAAAATTACTGTTTTTACTGTGTTTCTGCGCATAAGAATTTCTTTCAAAAAACGTACACACCTCAAACTTTTGAAAGAACTCAATCTTCGACAAATTAATCAATCATTGTTTGTCTCGTTTGTCCTCCATAATTGGCTATGCACATAGCACAACACAAACTTTTTGTTATGGATAATAACAATTACATTAAAAATACAAGAAAAAGACATAGTAAGCATTGTGTGCATTCTGATCTACAGACATTGATTCAGTGTGGATAATACCAGTCAGTACCTAATGTGTCTCTGCAAATGTATAACTGTATTAAAATTATACAAGCCACCAACCTATTCAGTTACAGATTCGATGTTAATATGTTCTTTCATAGACAATTCTTTGGTTTCCATATAGCAGCAGCACTCATGATGTGATGCATTTGAATGTCACTTGCACATGTTGTGGGTCCTATTTTGTATTTGCATAACCATGCAGTGTAACCAGTATGAGCAGGAATTTAGCATAAAAAAAGCATGCATGCAACGTCAATATTAAATGTTATGTCTTATGCAAAACTGACATAATACTTGCATAGAACACAACTTTTGAGGTGTCTTTCCAACACTAATTTAGGATAGGTGCACATCTACAACTTTTCACCTGCACCTAAATCAAGTGATAAATGCTGCATGCAGTTGCCAAAAGACTGCTGACAGCATCCTGCTCATATTTGCATTAATACTTGTTTTCTACAGAACATTAACACAAAAAAGAAATGGCTGTAAAAGTGTTTTCACAATACAAGCTGGGCATTCTTCTGTAGTATGTGGAATTACTAGCCGTCTTAAAACCTAGTGAGCTGCTTAGACAGCAGTTTAGTGCATGACAGACGCATTTACGCAACATACTAGGTAGGTAACGTTAGCTCACTAGGTTTTGAAACACTACCATTGTATCTACGGTGGACGTGTTTGATTCATGCACTAAAGAAAAAACACAAGCCCACGAGCAGCTCGCTTCAAACTTCGACTCACCTCCGCACATCGAAAGTCATTGTGTCTGCACGAATAAAATAAAAATATATATTTTACATACAATACTTGATCAAATAAAATCAAGTCAAGCGTGTTTAAAGATAAACGACGCAACTAGGGGATTCTTCCTTCAATCCTGCCGGCTCGGCTGTTCAGACCGGATGTGACATCCGCTTAGTACGCTCTGCACAATCCTATTGGTCGGAGGGGAGCGAGCAGCGTGATTCTGTTTCCGGTTAATAAATAAGTTGTGGGTGCAAACCAGTGTTGCCAACTTAGCAATTTTGTTGCTAAATTTAGCAACTTTTCAGACTACCCTAGCAACTTTTTCTTCCAAAAGCACCTAGCAACAAATTTAGCTATTCTTAAAATTTATTTGGCTACTTTTAGCAACTTTTGATAAGTGACTCATTTCGTGCCTTACGAGTCAAGTGACTCGTAAGGCACACATTTTCCATCTAAATTTCACGAAAAGAGAAAACCAAAGATGCCTAGAAGTACATGCGTCACATGAATTAAGTTATTGCTATTTGCAGTTGTTCAATTTGATAATAACAATAATAATTTAATAATTAAACTTAACGCGTTGCCTATGGTGATTAATCAGGTCCAAGTTCATTTTGCTGCTTTTGCTTCCGTTTATGTGGTACAACAGTTTAAATCTGTTTCTACAACAACTAAAACGTAAATGTGGCTATGTTGTGTTCTTCCTGTATCATAATGAGAACCTATTGGAATTCTGCTTAACTTGACTGAAATCTGATCTGCATTTAATAATAATAATAATAATAATAATAGGCTTCGATAATTAATCAGTTTACATGGCCATGTCTACATAAAACAAGTTATTTTTACAATTGATGTCTAAAGTATATGAACCTACAGCCTTGTTCTGTTACAACAGACTGTCCGTGAGCTGAAACTCAACATAAGTTGTGCCATACAATATGACAATGATTCTAGAATCAACAGCAATGGCACAAAAAGAAGAAATTACATATTTCACAATGGGAACAGAGTACCGACCACAGTCAGTATCAAGTAATGTAGGGTTAGGGTTATCCCAAAATTACACATGACAGTGTTTCATTTAAGTTATTGGAAATAAACTCCAGTGTTCCAGTGATATATATATCACCTACATTTTGAGGATTCACATATAGGATTCTTCACAGGGTTCTCACATAATGAATATTTTTTCTTTGTTATTTTATAAATATGTTATAGAAATTGCACTTACAAAGAGCAATTTCTAGCCAATGAAATATCGAACAGCCGAACAAGTAAAAAGCAAACACACACAAGATATTACAAGATCCTTAGATATAATTAGTATGATACAATTAAATCTTACTATTTTGTTAGACATTGTACATATTACCCAACTAAACAGTAGTTGCGGCTGAATGATGTGGTGCACCATGCAGTGTGTCTCACTATGTCACATCTGGGTGCATTCTAGAAATTTCAGCTGTCAGACAACAATACAGAATATGCAAAAATTACTATAAATTATTTATGGAAAAGAGGCAAAGGGACATACAAAGTATTTTCCCAGGCCTGACATGTTGCTCAGAAGCACCTCTGTCCGTAAATGGTCCGTTATTATGACATTGGTATATTCTACTTGCTACACCAAGGAAATGCCTCATTTGTCATACTATTTCACTTCCCTTTCTAACAATCAGAACATGCAAGTGTGCTTTTATAATTTTTAGATAGTAGATATAAATGTTTTACAAACAATTGTTTTTGTAAAGCGTATATCAGAGAACATTTCCATATTTAAATGATGGTATGAACAATGCTGTGCCATTCTCATGCATGCAAACTAGTTTGTAACTCCTGGATGCCGTACACAATGTTCTTCCTGGGGCATTACAGTCTCATCTTGTGGCTTGCATTTCTCTGCTGACTCATCTGTGTTTTTAATAGTAAAACTGTTTGCTTTTTCTGTCCGACAAATGATTTGTACAGAAATCCTCCACAAGTCCTGACTCAAGTATCAGAAATGCAGTACTGATGTCATGACTTACATGTCCTTTTGCTTCTTGTAAAGTATTGTGGCTGTCACATAAACATTTTATGGAATATTATTTATGGAAAATGTCTAAACTGATCCACACTGTAAAAAAAAAAAATCTGTGACATTTACGGTAAAATACCGGCAGCTGTGGTTGCCAGAACTTCACCGTAAAAAATACGGTAGCAACATTTTAGATTTTACAGACTTGACTTCACAATAAAATACCGTATTTCATTAACTGATGTAATGTTAATAAACCAACATACTGAAGTGTTAATATCTGTTTTGAGCCATTGTAATGCACTGATAACCACCAAAAACAGGTGGTGATGAGAAAGTCACATGATGAACCAAAGCTCATCACAAACAGCTTTTCTACGAGCTGAGGAGGGCAATACTTATATATAGAAGGTGCACACAGTGTCATTCACACAAACACTAAACTCCATCATGGTGACACACATGATACTGAAATAATGCAATAAACATTCATTTAACAACATTAGATGTAAGATTAAACCCCCCTGGAGTCGGTGGACATTCCTCCTCCATGGCTCCTCCCGCCGTCTGCTCCACCTTGAGCCGCTATTATAGCTGTGGCCAGGGTCCCACTTGGCTCCTCCTCCTGCTCCGGTTCCCTCCTGTCGTCTCCCTGGCTCCTCCCTCCATCGTCACCTCCCTGGACTCTGTTCATGGCATGCTGTTAAAAACATCTGAGGAAACACAATTGTAACACCCCTGTGGACTGTTTGTTGTGGTTTCTTCCCCTTTTGTTGGTTTAGCCCGTTCAATCATTAGTTAATTATCCTCATTGTGCTCACCTGTCTGCCCCTCGTTATCTGCCCTATAAGTTCCTGTCTCTTGTAATCTAGTATTGTCGGTTATTGTGAATGTTACCCTGAGTGTGTGTGTCTCATCTCCCCGTATCTGCCTTGTTGTCTCTACATTAAACATCCTTATTTGAATCCTTGTCGTCCTCGTCATCCTGCCTGCCTCCACACACCTTGACCGTGACAGTAGCAGGTTAACCAAAACAAAACATCACATTACAGAGAAAAAAAATACAAATAGTTGCCAATTACATGTAATAGATGTACCTTGTAAAATAGTCAAACTCTGACAAACTAAGGTACACTAAAGTACACTGACTTTTTGGTCGAAACATGTTGATTATCTTAAAAATATAGATCTCCTACACCATGGCCTCACATACATACTTGGTTTGTGTTTCAAGCTGATGGAAATTTACTAGACCTCAAGTTTCTATACAGTGATTAACTTTTATGGTTTCCCTTTGCTCTCGCGGCATTGCACACTATGTACTCCTGTACAATAAAAACAAAGTATAAACTTTTATTAGTACAATGACAGGTTCACTAATTATCTTGTTATTTATCTGAAGAGGAAAGTTTTTAAGAAATCACATGAAACAATAATATAATGGAAATAATATATACATTCATTTATGTTTGACAACTATTATTGGATTGTTATTGAATTTCATATGAGATGATAATACAGGAAGCGTTACTAACATCACAGAGATAAATAAATAAATAAAACAATTGTTAATATCTTGATTGTTTCCCTATAGTCAACAACGACATAAAATGAAGAGATTAAAATGTTACTTTAGACCCATACTTCTCATGAGAAAAACTCCCCAGTAATCTGAGATCTCAATATGATCTCAAACATTTCTCATCAAATTCTGTTTGCTGAATACCTGTAAAGTGGGACACTTCAGATTATTCTTTATTATTATATATGTGCGCATATTCTTCCTCTGTAAAATTCCATTCTTATATCTTAACCGTTTGGAACATATTTTAAAACTAATTTATATTTACATAAATGATCAGAAAGTGTCCCACTTTATGCCCTGTTTGGAACTGACATGAGAGGGAACTACCAAATGTGTTAATCTGCCAAGACAGCAACATTATTGGCCAATGCTGATCATCTCAAAATGGCCAAACGTCGACCTGGCTGATAAATGGGTCTAAGATCAAAGATCAACTTCTGAGGAAACTTTGTCACTCAAAACCCCTAAACCAGCATCCCAACAACAACAACAACAATCATCACCATCAATACTAACACTCAAATTTAGTGACACCTCTCGGACCACATTACCAGTCTCTTGGTCTAGAGGTCGACTGGCTTTGGCAGGATCAGATAACGCTGACGTACGTGCGAATTCACGCGGGCCAAGGGCCAAGAAAGGCGGAGCATTTGACGCAATGTCCCTCAACGAGAGCAGGGGAGGTTAGTACATAACCGTCGCTTAGAGCCTTTCAGATCAGAACAAGTCAAGAACGACAAGAAACACAGTAGCGAGTTTTCAATTGGAAACAAAAGAATTCGAATTTCAGCACCGCTCAACGCACTATCTTTGAATCAAACTCTCGAACAAAGGACTTTAGAGAGAACTTTTCAAGCGCGCGGACTCGTATCGTTTATCTCGCTGTATGTATTTAGAGCTATCATTCTCTACTATGGTCATCATGGAAGTGTCCACCATCGACTCGGCCTCGCTTCGTGATCTGCTGGAGGGAGATGATCCGGACTGTCTGGTTCTGGACTGTCGCTCGTTTTTCTCCTTCAGCTCGTCCCATATATCGGGCTCCAGTAATGTGCGCTTCAGTACTATAGTACGCCGGAGGGCCAGAGGGGGCCTGGGACTGGAGCACATTGTACCCAACGAGGACTCCAGGAACAGGCTTCTGTCCGGGGAATACCAGAGTGTTGTGTTCCTGGATGACCGCAGTTTGGAGATGGGAGAAGTGAAGAAAGACGGGACTTTAATGCTGGCCGTGAACGCTTTGTGTCGCAATCCATGTGGAGCAAGTGTATTCCTTCTTAAAGGTACGAAAATATTCTTCTTGAACTATATTTTGGGCTATTTTATTATAATACCATTCCATATATAAGGTGTGAACTCGTGTACTGTGAATGTGTTGTGTACTTAAAAGTGCGACCAAATGTTTTCTTAAGCTTTTGGCAATTAGACACGTGTAAATTCCAATTTTGTTAAAAATAATGATTCCTACTTTACTGTTTTTAGGTGGATTCGATACGTTTTCCTCTGAGTTTCCTGAAATGTGTACAAAGCCAGTTCC